CAGCTCCGCCACCGCCCCCCAACCACCCCCTAGCTCCGCCACTGCCCCCCACACTGCCCCCCAGCTTCGCCACTGCCCCCCACACTACCCCCAGCTCCGCCACCGCCCCCCACACAGCCCCCCAGCTCCGCCACTGCCCCCCACACCGCCCCCCAGCTCCAACCCCACTCCCCCGCTCACCGTGGTCTTCTCCAGGCAGTGCAGCAGGTGATGGTGCTGCTGCTCGAAGGTGGAACAATTCCGCACAGCCAAGGCATGAGCAGCGCTGCCCAGGTCCTGTGTGGGGGAGATCAGAGCTAGACAGACCCCCCCAGGCACACCCCTGCACGGCCTACTGGGGGCCTGGGAGCAGGGGGGGGGAGTAGAACAAGGAGAGTTGGCGGGGGGAGCGTGCGAAGAGCGAACACAGCTGTGTTCTGCACTCCTGTGCACGTGTAAGGGAGGGTGTGCGACTGGCCGTGGGTGTGTCAGTGCAACCAGGGAAGCGTGCAAGTTGTGAGTGTGCACTGGGATTGTGCACGGTGATGTTAGTGCAGTGGTGCACCGGTGGGGGCGATGATTCTGCATTGGCATTGTGCAAGGGTGTGTGTGTGTGTGCGTGTGTGTGTGTGTACAGCCAGTGTGCATTGGGACTGTGAGGGTGCAAGGGGTGAGTGTGCAGTGACTGTGCACAGGTGTGTCAGTGCAACTGGGGCAGGATGTGGGGGGTGCCAACGGAACTGTGAGTGTGTGTGCTGGCATTAATGCAATTGTGTGTGTGGAAAGTGTGAGGTGAGTGTACCTTGCACTTGCACCATGATGGGTTTAGTGCAAGCAGGTGGTGGTGAATGTGTGTTGTGCATGTGTGTTAGTGTACCGGTGTGCATGTGTAAAGGGTGAGTGTGCACTGTGATTGTGCATGGGAGTGTTACTGCAATTGTGTGAGGGTGTGAAGGGTGAATGTGCAGCCAGTGTGCACACGAGTGAGCTAGTGCAACAGTGCGAGCAGTGAGCATGCAGCGTGGGTGCCTGCTGAGTGTGCACGGTCGTGTCCGTGCCACTGAGGCAGTGGGGGTTTGTGCACAAGGTCTGTGCTAACATCATTGTGGGCAGGGTGAGTGTGCTGTGCAATTGTGCACGGGGGGTGTCAGCGCTGGGGGGGGGCGTGGGCGGGGGTGAGCGTGCATGGCGTCTGCAGTGAGTGCTTTCCCACCACTGGGCGAGCATCTGCTGCCACAATGCACGGGCGTTTGCTAGTGCAACGGGGCGCGCGTGCGAGCGTGCGAAGGGTGAGCGTGCGTGTGCTGGGGGTAGGTACCTGGAGCCCCCCGTTCCGCTTGAAGTGCAGGAAGGCGTTGGTCGTGGTGCTCTTAGCCAGTCGGATCCGTGCCAGGCGAACCTTCTGCAGGGGGAGGGAGGGTCAGAGACACAGACACAAACCTCCCCCCCAGCTCCCCAGCCCCCCCCTGCATCTCAGCCCCACAACCCCCCTCCACCCTGGCTCACTCTCCCCTGCCCGCATCCCCCCGGACCTGCTGCGCCCGGCGTTTGTCCGCCCGCTGGTTCTGGTGGTAGATGCGGCTGAAGTTGGAGACGATGACGGGCACCGGCAGCGCGATGACCAGCACCCCGCTCAGCGAGCAGATGGAGCCGAAGATCTTCCCGGCGATCGTGCTGGGAACCATGTCCCCATACCTGCCGGGGGGAGGGGGCGGGGGCGCGGGAAGGGAAACAAGAACACGAATGCGGCAGAAGCTCGGCTTTCGGGGGCTGAGAAAAGTCCGTTCCTAGCCCCTGCGGTCGGGGAGAACCCCCCACCCATGTGACGCTGCCGGAGTCTGTCGAGAGCCTGAGCCGGCCGCTCGCAGAGGTGTGAACCGCCCCGTGCAGCTCACAGCCCTGCTGCTCCAGGGCCCCTCCCCGGCAGGGTGGGGGAGACGCTGAGATGCAGCCACCTCTGGGGCAGGGCGGCTGGGGAACAGCCACCCATAACGCCGCATGAGGATAACAGACGGCAGAAGTGTTGCAATTAGTAATGGAGCGCTTGGGAAAGCGAAATCGCTTCTGGAGAAACGCTGTTAATCCACGTCAGGCGAGCGGCGATTATATAATAAAATACGCGCCACAACACCATGACTTATTTAACGGGCTGAGGAATCAATCAACGGCTCGGAGCGTGGCCAGAGAACGGCGACAGCTTCCCCGGTACGGGTAACACAAGGCGTGGAGATGCAGCCACCTCTGGGGCACGGCAGCTGGGGACCAGCCGCACACAACGCTGCAAGGGGACGGCTCGCCAGGGAGCAGCGATGCGGCCACCTCTGGGGCAGAGCAGCTGGGACCAGCTGCCAAACAAATACAGAAGAATTTCATCTTAATTGGGAATTCCAGGGAATTTTAGCTGGGTGGTGGCTTGTTCTAACCGGCCAGGACACTGGGATCCCCCTGCTGAGACCCCCGCCCCACAGCACCCCCCAGCACCCAGCCCGGACTGCCAGGAGAGAGAGACCCCCGCCCAGCCCCCGCCCCGATCCCCGCAGCACGGCGCCCCCTTGTGGCTCAGTGCAGACCCCAGGACAAGGGCGATGCCCAGGGGGCAGGAAGGGGATTTTGTGGTCTGTGCCAGGGGTGGGATTCTGGAGGGGGGGAGGAATCAGAAGCCAACCCCCGGCTCTAGGCCGGCTCCGTGTGTAACTACGGAGAACATGAAATATTCACACGTCCCCAGGTACCAGCGCGGAGCGGGTCCGCTTGGCTGGCGAGAGGTTGCTGTAACCTTGCGCTGCGGCATGTGGGGGGGGCCCTGGGGCTGATCCGGGGGTGGGGGGAGAGACCACACTGGGGGGGGGATGGGAGCCACCTGGGGCCTGAGATGCACAGAAATGGGGGGACGGCTCCCAGCCCCCACCCCCCCGCCTCTAACCACCAGCCCCCACTCCCCTCCCCGACGCTGGGGAGGAGAACCCACGGAGTCCTGGCTCCCAG